AAAACCAAAAAGTCATCAGTAAAATGTTGCTTCAATGGCATGAAAGGAAGTCTTTTTTGCATTGAATTGTGACTGGTGATGAAAAGTGGATTTATTTTGAGAATCCCAAACGCACGAAATCATGGGTTGATGCAGGTCAACCATCAACATCGACTGCAAGGCCAAATCACTTCGGAAAGACAATGCTCTGCGTTTGGTGGGATCAGGAAGGTGTGGTGTACTATGAGCTTCTAAAACGAGGTGAAACCGTTAATACTGATTGCTAGCGACAACAAATAATCTATTTGAACCATGCTTTGATCGTAAAACGACCAGAATGGGCCAGAAGACACGGCAAAGTAATTTTGCTTCATGATGACGCACCATTACACACTTCAAAACCAGTTAAAGACACATTAAAAGATCTTGCCTGGGAAGTATTAACCCACCCGCTATATTCACCAGACCTCGCTCCTTCAGATTACCACTTGTTCCGATCAGTGGCACACGCACTTTCTGAGCAGCACTTCAAAACGTACAAAGAAGTGGAAAATTGGGTCTCTGAATGGTTTGCCTCAAAACAAGAAAAGTTCTATTGGGACGTTACCCACAAATTACCTGAAAGATGGGGGAAATGTGTAGCTAGCGATGGACATTACTTTGAATAAAGCACTTTTGTTGTTTCTCTTGAAATTATCGTGTTTTCTTTGATTACAAAATCCGCATTATTAACCGGTACACCTGGTATACTCCTCAAACCACTGCAATTTGCTGCCTACACTCACACTACTCTAATGAAACTGCTCTAATTTGCTGCCTACATTCACACTACTCTAATGAAACTGCTCAATAACCCTGCTGTTTTTTTATCCTCAACCAGTATCATTAATCTCTATTATCTGATTATTCCTTCCTGAAACTACCTCTAATTTAAGCTTCTGACAGACACAGAATTCTCCATTTTCCTGCAGTTTTGACTACATCTATCAACTCTTCTGCCCATTCCTTTAACTACAGCATTCGCTCATTTTTCTCCTCTTTAACCCTCTATCGGCAAATTTATTCAAGATAATGTGTTTACTATCAAACACCTTCAACTCCCAAAGATTTATCTCTAACACAGACTTCTCTACTAAGCTATAGACCTACATTTTCAGGTACCATTTTCAAGGGTCATCTGCAACAAGATTATTGATACTTTCAACTCAACATATCTTATATGTAATTTATCTTACAGATTAACAACAACAACAAAAAGTATTTATTAAGCTCCTATTAATCCTCACCCGAGGATATTTTTTTCCATAGATTTTTTTAGAGAGAATGGAAGGGAGGGGGAGAGACACAGAGAGAGAGACATTGATGTGAGAAGAGACACATCGATCAATTGCCTCCTGCACGCACCCTGACCAGGGCCGGGGAACAAGTCTGCAAATAAGGTATGTGCCCTTGATTGGAATCGAATCCAAGACCCTTCAGTCTTCAGGCTGACGCTCTAACCACTGAGAAAAGCCAGCTAGGGCTTTTAAATGGATGTATAAATATTAAAGATGTGGAAATTAAGATCCAATTAAGTTAAGTAACTCAAAAGTGGAGCTGATATATTACCAACTCAGGTCTGTCTAAAACGAAAGCTTTTAACATCTACCCTATATCACAGTACTAAAGTATAGTGAGAGTAGAAGCTAGAAAAACAGACTGGAGAATATGATCAGATAGATGGAAAAGTTTAAGATTACAAAAGCAGCTCTGGCTGGTTTGGCTCAGTGGATAGAGCCTCGGCCTGCAGACTGAAAGGTCCCAGGTTCAATTCCAGTCAAGGGCACATGCTCAGGTTGCAGGCTCAGTCCCCAGTAGGGGGCGTGCAGTAGGCAACCAATCAATGATTCTCATTGATGTTTCTATCTCTCTGTCCTTCTCCCTTCCTCTCTGAAATACCCTTCTCCTTGGCAAGCAGATTTCCTTTTCCCTTCTGCAGATGAAAGCTCTACAAATTTGGCTCATAAATAATAGATAGAAATCATATAGGTAAGCTAGCCCTTTGATTGAATCATCTTTATCACACTCTGACTCAGACAAAAGCAATTATCTTCCCACTGTCCAAATGCCAGTCCCTCCTTAGTTGACAGGCAGATCTTCCTCACTTGCTGCCCTCTGGTCTCTTTCCTCTCAACATCACTCACAGTAAAACATTATAGAAATTAATAAAGCAAACAGCTACAAAAGAAATTACCAGCCCAATCCATGGAAATTACAATCCATAGGCCTATCTGTTCTCACAGTCCGACGTAAGTACTTACTTAATGCCGAGAAACAGAAGAAACAGAAGCAGCAATAGGGAAAAAAAACCAAAAAGATTTTTCTTTTTGAAAATCTATTTCCTAATGACTAAAAATTGCTTTTTTCTATTTATATGATTATTTAAGAGAAAATAGTATGTGTATGTATATATATATATATATATATATCCTAGCACAAACTCTCTTCTGTCATATTTTACCACATATTTTATCACTAGCAAAAAAAAAAAGCCCTCTTGACTTTTTTTCCTTTGATGCCATAGGCCTCTCACAAGTTCAGTGGATAGTTTAGTGCTATATAAAATTGAAAACTCAGAGACACAGACAGATAACAGTATGGTGGTTATAGAAGGAAGGGAGGGTGCAGGGAAAAGGGATCAAATTTATGGTGACGGAAGATGACTTGACTATGGGTTGAGGGTGCACAATGCAATATACAGATCATGTATCATAGTAATGTATACTTGAAACCTATACGACCCTATTAACTAATGTCACCCGAATAAATTTAAAAATAGAAAAAGAATGAAGCTCATTAATTTAAGAAACACTAAAACTATTCTATGGTCAGATAATGTGACCTTTGGGAAAGTGGGAGGGAGAGATGACTGAGAGGAAGGATAAGCTGGGCTTCTGGGGTTGTTAGCAGTGTTCCATTTCTTGTCCAAGGGCAGTGGTTCTCAACCTTCCTAATGCCGCGACCCTTTAATACAGTTCCTCATGTTGTGGTGACCCCCAACCATAAAATTATTTTCGTTGCTACTTCATAACTGTAATTTTGCTACTGTTATGAATCGTAATGTAAATATCTGATATGCAGGATGTATTATCATTGTTACAAATTGAACATAATTAAAGCATAGTGATTAATCACAAAAACAATATGTAATTATATATATGTTTTCCGATGGTCTTAGGCGACTCTGTGAAAGGGTCGTTCGACCCCCAAAGGGGTCATGACCCACAGGTTGAGAACCGCTGAGCTAGGTGGTAGTCACATGAATATGTTCACTTTCTGATAACTTGGTGAGGCTTACACTTAAGATATGTGTACTTTTTTTTATATATGTAATAAGTGAATAAAAAAACTTTAATATACAAATAGCAAATCTTCTCTGACCTTTAATAAAAGCCTACCATTGAGTGGAAGCCTTACCAATAACAACAGAAAGTATGTATAAAACACTCCTCAAACTTAAAGAATCATACTTTAAAAATTAGAAAATAATAGCATAGTGTTTTTCCACTCCAAGAGAACCTTAACTTATTCTGCTTATCCCATGTCAGACCTAACATTCCTAATGGATTCTGGGTTTATATAAGAAATGAGATGTTTTAAAACCTACTTAGCCTCGCCGGTGTGGCTCAATTAGTTGAGGGTTGTCCCATGCAGCAAAAGGTCCCCAGTTTGATTCATGGTCAGGCACATGCCCAGGTTGCAAGCTTGATCCCCAGGAGGGGGTATGCAGGAGGCAGCAGATTGATGCTTCTCTCTCATCAGTGTTTCTCTGTCTCTCTCCCTCTCCCTTCCTCTCTCTCTAAAATCAATAAAAACATATTTTAAAAAAATATTTAGATTTCCTGGGCTCTTATCTATTATATAGATATGTATCATAAACAGGTACAGAGAAGGTCCTCAACAAATATTTACTAATGATACTCAGCCCAAACTTTAAACAAACTCACATAGCAAAGTCTAAAATACATACCACAGGTAAAATAGGAGAAAAACTCAGCCTACTGGCCTAAAGAGTGCAACCACCAGAAATTCCTCTTTTCAAAACTAAGCAATTACAGAATGTACTTCTTATAAGGAAGAGAATCATTTATGACAACAGCTATCTATGACAAAGGAAATTGGAGTTTTCCCCCTTCACTGCTGCCTAGCTCAGACAAGGCACAATCAACTTCCTGATGCCACAGCTAAGCAAAAGGAACCCAGCAGCAATCTGCTTGTAAGGGCAGGGACTATAATGTGATGTAAACCCAGCAGCAAGGAGTTACCTGAGGTAGAAGACAATAATGTTGGGGAGGAAATGAGAAGTACTTGACTCTAAAATCTAAATTCTAAAATCATTACTATTCCTACTTTCCACAGTGACAGTAAACCAAAATACAGTTGACCCTTGAATGACTCAGGGATTAGGGGCATTGGACCCCACTCCCATAATCAAAAATCCACATTTAATTTTTTACTCCCCCAAACTTAACTACTAATAGCCTACCATTGAGTGGAAGCCTTACCAATAACAAACAGTCAAGTAATAAATATTTTGTATGCTATATATATTACATATTATATTCTTACAATAAAGTATGCTAGAGAGCCTGGCCAGTGCTCAGTGCTTGAGTGTTGACCTATGAACCAGGAGGTCATGATTTGATTCCCAGTCTGGGCACATGCCCAATTGTGGGCTCAGTCCCTAGTGGGGGGCATGCAGGAGGCAGCTGATCAATGATTCTCTCTCATCATTGATGGTTCTCTCTCTCTCTCTCTCTCTCTCTCTCTTCCTCTCTGAAATCAATAAAAATATTTTTAAACGTATGCTAAAGAAAATAAAATTTTTTTATTGATTTGAGAGAGAGAGAGGAAGAGAGAGGGGGAGGAAGAGAGGGAAAGAGAGAAACATTGATGTAAGAGAGAAATATCAACCAGTTGCATCCCATATGCACCCTGACCCTTGATCTAACCCACAACCAGGGTATGTGCCTTAACCAGGAATTGAACCCAAAACCTTTTGGTGTATGAGATGACGCTCTAACTAACTGAGCCACCTGGCTAGGACTAAAAAGAATGATTTAGACTCACATAAGCTTATAGGAACATATATCATTAAGTTTTTGTGGGGGGTTTTTTAATATTTTTTATTGATTTCAGGGAGGGAGAGAGAATAATTGATTGGCTGCCTCCTGCACAACCCACACTGGGGATTGAGCCCACATCCCGGGCATGTGCCCTGACCAGAAATCGGACAGTGACTTCCTGGTTCGTAGGTGGACACTCAATCACTGAGCCAAGCGGCCAGGCTATTTTTTGTTTTTGATTTTTTTTTAACAAGTCAAGTGTGATCACTTCTGGTTCAAATTAGAGGAGGGAAAGCCATGGCTCAATTACAAACCATGTGGCAATTACAAAGAAATATGGAAAGACTCAATTCTCAAAATGCTTATAATTTGTTTGTAGAAACTAGTCATGAACATCAAGACAACAAAAGTTAAAGAAAATTCTTGATTTAGTTTACTGGAGTTGCTAAAGTGGTACTGGCACCCATGGAAGCAAAACAACATCAGTATTCTGAGGAAAATTGTGCTAAATATTTGCAGAAAGATTAAGTAAGTTCTATAAAAGGTTGGTTTCTTAAAATTCTTCAAGTCTAGCCTCCCACTCAACATAGATATCCCTTTTAGAACACTTTTACCACTCATTCAATTTCTGTTTAAAGAATCCTATGTCAAAAGATCCTCATAAGTAGTCCATTCCATTTGTTAAGAACAACCCTAATTGTTAAAGTTCTTCCTTACATTAAATTAATATCTAATTTCCTACAGTTTTCAATCATTAGTTGATTTGTCCCAGTTCTGTCCTCTGGATCAACAGGTTTTTTAAAATGATTTTCACCTACTATAATGAGCCTTTCCCTCTTGGATCTTTTCAAAACTAAACCTCTCAATTCCTAAAATGGCTTCTACACCCTTCATTATTCTAATTATTCTCCTCTGAAGAAATTCTAGTTTTTCAATGTGCCTCTTAGAATCAATACCCCACTGAACACAAAAATTCCAGATCTTATCTGACCAGTGCTATTATCCTCTTTGTCTGGGTCACCATGAGTATAACAATTCAGGACTAGGTGCCAGGCTGTTTACAATCCATTGCCAAATTAGTGACACTGTTCAGATCATAAGTGATTTGTTTTAAGAGTTTAACGAGTGTAAAAAAGAAAGATGACTGAGGAGTTGAGGAAATTTTCAACAAACATTGTAGACTGTAAGCTGGGAAAGGAAGCATACATTTATGATAAGCAGAAAATAGAGAAAGAAAACAATTTCGGGGGTACAAATACAGAACAGGGCAGAGACAGGAATGAACCAAGTTAGTACTAGAGCAAAGTAGCTATATAAGGATAGGCAATAACATAGCGCCAAAAAGGAGAGATGCAGTCACACTACTTGTATTGTGAGCCCTTAACCTACATAACTAAAGGGTTAGTTCAAGAAATTGAGCCCTAGCTGGTTTGGCTCAGTAGGTAGAGCATCAGCCTGCAGACAAAGGGTCCCAGGTTCAACTGCAGTCAAGGGCACATACCTTAGTTGCAGGCTCCTCCCAGGCCAGGGCTGCATGCAGGAGGCAACCAATCAATATGTCACTCACATTGATGTTTCTCTCTCTCTGTCTCTCCCCTTCCTTTCCACTATCTCTAAAAATCAGTGGGAAAATATCCTCGGGGGAGGATTAACAAAAAAAGAAAAAGAAAATGAACTGTTAGTTGAGATGGTCAGGGTGATTAAAATCAGTATCAGTTTGCCAATTTCTACATCAAATCAATGACTGTTTGAAATTTTACTTCAATGAAAAAGTTTCTAATTCAATTCTACTCTAAGATTAACAGAAATTGAGTTGTTCTACAATATCACTACACAGGCTTCTTTCAGAACATGAACAACATTCTTAACTGCCAAAATGTCATTTTAGAAAGATTTATTTTCATCCATTTCTGTAGGTTTCCCCAGAATGAATAATTTGCCACTTAACATGAATACTTCTAATCAAAGTAGCTGCTTCTTTCAGTAATTAATCATCTTCAGGATCTCCATTCAAAAGACAATGACCTGCTAGTCTCCCTCCAATACCCCAGGGTCAAAAAGATAGGAATTTGACTAATGAACATTAAAAGGTTAAGATGTTAACCAGCAGAATTTCTAGGCATGAATGCTGCCCAATATTACAACAAATAAAAACAACAGCTGCTCTGTCTCTGAGGTGATTTAAATTTAATTAAATAGGATTTTTGGTTTACTATTGCTCCTGCCTAAAGACTCTTTCATAAAGACTAGCTCTGTAATATGATGTGGCAGCAGAGCTAAACTGTTCAAGAGACATTGCAAAACCCAACCTCTCCCAAATCCTGCTACTCAACAGCAGGGATCTAAAAGAATAGATTCCCAGCTGCTGAGAGAAATGTCTTACTAAAAGCAAAGCAAAATTCTCATTAATGAAAAATCAACAGTGAAAGGAGAAAATTCTGTGTGCCTCATAATCCCCGGAAATAGCCAAATCCATTTTGGGTTAATGCAGGTTTAACAAAACAGTGCAAGTGAAAAGAGAGGAGCAGTTCCCTTTGCCAGCAGCTGTGAGAAAACAGTTATCAGAGAGATCACAAACAATGCTTCTAATCCACAGAGCCCAAAGAAACGTGAACTCTAACTCTCCAATAAAAGATTCAGCCAGGAAAAAGCTCTTACGGATAAATCCACTCTCACACTCACAAGCCACCTTATCCTATCTCGTTCAGCACAGGTATAACAGGCTGTAACTTCAATTTCCCACGATCAAATTCAACAGGTAATCCAAACCCTGCTTTTTCTGATCAGATCATCTCTAAAACCGCAGTCCTTGCATCCATTCAAAAACCATCTTAGAGCTTCTATGTCAGGCACAGAGAACACAAACACCTGTGAGAAAATTAGTCTCTACCCTCTTGGAGCTTAGTCCATGCACCCTGCTTCACATGAACCCCAAAACTCTTGCCTTAAAATACCTTCTTAGATGGAGCCAGCGTCCTCAGTGAAGAAGCAATAAAGGCCCTTCATCTTTAGTTACTGTGACAGAAGCAAAGTAAATCAATCAACTAATCAATCACCTCCTATGCTCTGCTCGGGAAGGAGAATCCAACACACCTTTGCAAGTGGAACATGAGACTAACCCTTATCCTAGATTACAGGGAAGGAGCAGGGGACACGACAAGCAAAGGAGGAGTGCAAGCCCAGAAATACGACGGGAGAAGGGATGTGACAGCTGTCCCGTAACCTATTCAAAGATTAAAAAAAAGAAAAGAACCTGCTACGAAGCCGACTGTAGTTTAACAGTGCAGGGAGGAGGAAGGGAAGAAGAATGGGAGGCTGCCCACGATGGACAGACACCAGCCATCCCGGTCCCCTTCCGTCCTCGGTCCACTCTCATTGGGGAGAGTGCCGGTCGCTGTTTGCTTAATAGGATCTGGGCCTGTCACATGGCCACTGGCAGGGAGAGGTAGCAGTCCCTTCGCAGGAGCGTGAGGACAGACAGGAGCGGGCAGCACTCTCCCAATGTTTGTCAATAAGTTCACATAATTGTCGCCCGAGGCGCAGACGGGAAGTGAAGTTTGGAAAGGATGGTAACCCGACGTCCACTGGAGGCGTGTGGGGACCGCTCAGCTCCCCCGCCCTACCCGACCCCAGCCCCTCGGTGCGTGCACTCACCGCGCACGCAGAGCAGA